TGATGCAATACATTGTAGCAGATTTAATTTATCTTTCCAATCCATCTGTGCTATAGTTTGTAGATTGTTGCGCAAACTACCTACTGAAGCATATTCCATGGCAAGAATATATTCATTGGACTCTTTGTGTTTTGATATACCAAAGCATTTTAAAAAAGTTGGATCTTTAAGACCGATATCACAATATGCTTTTAACTTATTAAAAACAAATATAAATTCAAATTATTAATGTAATTAATAAATAACGGATACTGTAATTTACTGCAATTAATAAAAATATTTAATAAAGATTACCTCTCCTATAAATTCTTCATGATAATCATTCGAATGTTTATGAAGTAATTTAAGCGCAACAGGTGTGTTTAAATTTTTACTTTTATCATGCCATTTAGCGTAGTACACAGTCGCAAATGCACCTTTACCTATCTCTCGAAGATCTTTAAATTCGTCATAAGAAATCCATGATAAATGATACTGATTTTCAATCAATATGTTTTTTAATTCATCTTTAATTTCAGAATTATTCATCCATTCATTTGTGACTAATATTTATTTAAAAATTTTAATCAATTTTAAATTGTAAATTAACTATATGGTTATGATAATAGTTGATACTAAACCTTTTTCCCTAATCGGCGATCTAAATATGTGAAGTTTTTAATAAATATATACTGAATTATATAATACAATTTAGCGCTAACAGCTTGATTCGGCTTGTATATTCATTATTATAAAAACCGATTATGAATAAAGTCGATTGAGTCGTTAGCATCCCTATCCCGGATCTATCGATCGAATATATTAAGTCAAAGACAATTTCATAGAAAGACTTGCATATGATTAGCTGTTTAAATCAATTTAATTTTACGTTTTTTATATAGTTTAATGTACTCTTTAAAAAAAAACTACAAAGAATAAATAAAAAAAGGTATATTGAAAGTTTTATTAGGGTTGTAGAACTCTACAATTGAAAATAATCAATATCCCTTTTATTCTAAAGAATTTAGCATGATACTGACCTAATTTTTATCTATTTTGCAGAAGTCGTGATTGTGCTAACTTCTCTAAAACAAAAAGGGATTTAATAGTGTCTTACGACCCTAATAAAACTTTCTATATATCTTTTTTATTTATTCTTTGTAATTTGATTTTTTTAAAAAATACTTTAAACTATATAAATAATATAAAATTAAATTGATCTAAAACAGCCAATCAATTGAAAGTCTTTCTATGAGATGTAATTGTTTATGAAATCAAAAAATTTTTGTTAAGAGTCATTACTCTTAACCTCATTCTAACCAACAAACTAACCTTTTTTTTTGATTTCATTTAGATCTGACTTTGTGATTTGATTGCGATGCGTTACGACACCCTCGAAAAATTTAAACTCAAAGTTTACCTTTGATACCAGTACTTGGATTCATGTAAATCTCTTGTTATCCCAATTCCATTTCGATAACATTCTGCAACTCTCGACATTCCATTAATGTAACCCATCTCTGCTGATTTTCGGAAATAAATAAATGCCTTATCTTCATTCTTTTCAACACCAAATCCATATTGATAACAATTCCCAACATTATGAATTCCTTCAACGCTTCCCATCTCTGCAGATTTTTGATAATAAAAGAATGCTTTAATTTCATCTTTTTCAACTCCAATTGCGTTATCATAACAATGACCAACATTATATATTCCATCAACATATCCCATCTCGGCAGATTTTTGATAATAAATGAATGCTTTATATTTATCCTCTTCAACTCCAATTCCATAATGATAACAATATCCAACATTATATATTCCAATAGCATGCTCTATCTCTGCAGATTTTTGAAAATAAATGAATGCCATATGCTCATCCTTTTCAACTCCAATTCCGTTAATATAACAGTCTCCAAGAGCAAATATTCCATTAGCATTTCCCATATTTGCTGATTCCTGATAATAAATGAATGCCTTATTTGCATCCCTTTCAACTCCAATTCCATTATGATAACAATATCCAAGATTGTTTATTCCACCAGCGTCCCCCATCTCTGCAGATTTTTGATAATAAATGAATGCCTTATATTCATCCTTCTCAACCCCAATTCCTTTTTCATAACAGTATCCAACATTAAGTGTTCCTCTAGCGTGCTTCATCTCTGCAGATTTTTGAAAATAGATGAATGCCTTATGTTCATCCTTTTCGACTCCAATTCCATTAAGACAACAACAACCAACATTATACATTCCATTAGCGTTCCCCATATCTGCTGATTTTTGATAATAAACGAATGCCTTATATTCATCCTTTTCAACTCCAATTCCATTATGATAACAATGTCCAACATAATATGTTCCACTAGCGTTCTCCATATCTGCAGATTTTTGATAATAAATAAATGCCTTATGTTCATCCTTTTCAATTCCAATTCCGTTAAGATAACAACATCCAGCATTATATGTTCCTTCAGCGCCACCCATCTCTGCAGATTTTTGATAATAAAAGAATGCCTTATGTTCATCTTTGTCAGCACCAATTCCATTTTGATAACAATATCCAACATTGCATGTTCCCACAGCGTCACCCATCTCTGCAGATTGTTGATAATAAATGAATGCTTTATGTTCATCTTTTTCGACTCCAATTCCATTATGATAACAATATCCAACAAAATATGTTCCACTAGCGTGCATCATCTCTGCAGATATTTGATAATAAATGAATGCCTTATTTTCATCCTTTTCAACTCCAATTCCGTTAAGATAACAACATCCAACATAAAATATTCCATCGACGTCACCCATTTCAGCAGATTTCTGATAATAAATGAATGCCTTATGCAAATCCTTTTCAACTCCAATTCCTTCATCGTAACAATATCCGACATTAAATGTTCCGTTAGCGTTCCCCATCTCTGCAGATTGTTGATAATAAATGAATGCTTTATGTTCATCTTTTTCGACTCCAATTCCATTATGATAACAACATCCAACCATCTTTGTTCCATCAGCGTTACCCATCTCTGCAGATTTCTGATAATAAATAAATGCCTTACGTTCATCCTTTTCAACA